GAACAGTGATTATTGAACAGAGTTGGGGAAGTCCCAAAGTAACCAAAGATGGCAGGACCGTTGCAAAGTCCATGCACTTAAAAGATAAGTATCAAAATATTGGCCCTAAACTTGTTCAAGATGTTGCCAATAACACAGACGAAGAGGCTGGCGATGGCACCACTACTGCTGTGTCCTGGCACGCTCTATTGCCAAGGAAGGCTTCGAGAAGGTTAGCAAAGGTGCTAAGCCAGTGGACGTCAGGAGCGGTGTGATACTAGCTGTTGACGCTGTAAGCGCTGAACTTAAGAAGCAGTCTAAATCTGTGACAGCCCCAGAAGAAATTGCTCACATGGCTAGATTTCTGCAAGTGGAGACCAAGAAGTTGGCAACATCATTTCCGATGCAATGAAAAAGGCTGGAAGAGAGAGCGTCATCACAGTAAAGGTTGGAAAAACACGAAACGATGAATTAGAAATTATTGAAGGCATAAAGGTTGATCGAGGTTATATTTCTCTGTACTTCATTAACACAGCAAAAGATCAGAAATGTGAGGGGTGCCTGGGTGGGTCAGTCGGTTGGGCGTCCGGCTTCGGCTCAGGTCATGATCTCACGGTCTGTGGGTTCAAGCCCCGCATCAGGCTCTGTGCTGACAGCTCGGAGCCTAGAGCCTGCTTCGGATTCTGTGTCTCCCTCTCTCTCTGCTCCACCCCCACTCATGCTCTGTCTCTCTCTGTCTCAAAAATAAAAATGAACATTAAAAAAATATATAAAAAAAGAAATGTGAATTCCAAGATGACTATGTTCTACTGAGTGAAAAGAAAATGTCTAAAACAGAAAAAAAAGAAAATTTCCAGTGTCCAGTCCGTTGTACCTGCTCTTGAAATGCCAATGCTCACTGCAAGTCCCTGTTCATAACTGCTGAAGATGTTCACGGAGAAGCTTTGAGTACACTTGTTTTGAATAGGTTAAAAGTTGGTCTTCAGGTGGTAAGCAGCCAAAGCTCTAGGTTTTGGTGACAACAGAAAAAAAATTGCTTAAAGACATGGCTATTGCTACTGGTGGTGCAGTGTTTGGGGAAGAAAGATTGACTCTAAATCTTGAAGATGTTCAGCTTCATGACTTAGGAAAAGTTGGAGAGGTCAATATGACCAAAGATGATTCCATGCTCTTAAAAAGAAAAGGTAACAAGGCTCAAATTGAAAAATGTATCCAAAAAAATCACTTGAAATCAACAGTTAGATATCACAACTAGTGAATATGAAAAAGAAAAGCTGAATGAACATCTGGCAAAACTCTCAGAGTAGCTGTGCCGAAGGCTGGGACAAATGATGTTGAAGTGAGTGAAAAGAAAGACAGAGTTACAGATGCCCTCAATGCTCCACGAGCTGCTACTGAAGATTCTCTGGGAAGGGGCTGTGCCCTGCTTTGGTGCATTCCAGCCTTGGATCCGATAACTCCAGCTAACGAAGATCTTCAAAATTCCTGCGATGACCATTGCTAAGAATGCAGGTGTTGAAGGATCCTTGATAGTTGAGAAACATATGCAAAGTCCCTTAGAAGTTGGTTATGACGCTGTGCTTTGGAGATTTTTTGAATGACGGTGGGAAAAGGCGTCACTGATCCAACTAAGGGTGTTAAGAACTACTTTACTAGATACTGCTAGAATTGCCTTTCTGTTAACTATAGCAGAAGTCGTCGTCACCGGAATTCCTAAAGAAGAAAAGGACCCAGGAATGGGTGGACCGGGAGGGGGTATGGAAGGTGGAATGTTCTAATTCCTAGAACAGTGCCTTTCCATTATTAATGAACTGTGAGGGGAAACTCAAGGCAGGGCCCTTCAACGATAACTTCAGAGAATTCCACTGGAGGAAATGACTGAAGAAAAGTCTGGCTGGTGTTTAAGAAAATCATGATAGCCATCAGTTACTGGTTTCGGTTGACAACAAATTCTGATTTACTGCTGTCATTGTCCATGCTCACAAAGAATGTATTTTGTGCTTTTGAATAAAAAGAGGCATTTTTACTACTATGATGTTAAAATCGGGATTTTCTTTTTTTTTAATTTTTTTTTCAACGTTTTTATTTATTTGTGGGACAGAGAGAGACAGAGCATGAACGGGGGAGGGGCAGAGAGAGAGGGAGACACAGAATCGGAAACAGGCTCCAGGCTCCGAGCCACCAGCCCAGAGCCCGACGCGGGGCTCAAACTCACGGACCGCGAGATCGTGACCTGGCTGAAGTTGGACGCTTAACCGACTGCGCCACCCAGGCGCCCCTAAAATCGGGATTTTCATACTTGCCATCACCAGATGAAAAGTTAAGAAGCAGTCTTTCTGTGGAGAGCAAGAATAATTGTGTACAAAGTAGAGAAACAGCCAACTATGTGGCAACTTTTGTGTAATGAAAATTTGTTTAAAGTTAAAAAAAGAAAGAGCCTTAATTCTCCCTGTTAGAGACTTATTACCCCTCCCCTCCCTTTTCTTAGAGCATTTACTTTAGAAAACTTGTAAGTTCCTTCTCTTTCTTTAAAACATTTATTATTATTTTTTTTAATGTAAATAGACTTCTTGACCACTTTACAACCCAGGAATGTCTTTCTCAAAGACCTGGGAGCCACCTCTCTGAAATGTAGTCACAGTTTTTGTGGGTAGGTAGGAGCCTAACTTCAGCAGGTTCCTCAGGCTCCTCGCTCTAAGTTTCAAAACTACCACCTGCCACAAGGATATGAGAATTTTGTTTTTCCTTTGGGTGAAACCAATCAGCAAACACAGAGAAGCCACTCTACGTATCAAGTGAATCTAGGATCAGCAATGTGTGACAAATGGTACTTTCTGGTCCTCTTCAGGGCTAGGGAGTGTTTGTCTTGAGAACATGTCTGTAATGAGTTGTATCTTCTTGGCTATAGAAATGGGTAAGATTTTGGTCTTTGCAATCTCTTAGCAGAT